ATGAGTGGAGGTAGTTTCTCATATTTCTTCGAAATATTGTGATATATATTCTGCTGGACCGGCTGCTATATAATTCATCATGTTCAAGTACCATGTTCAAATAAGTATATAATCAGTAATATATTGATAAAGTGTTGGCTATCCTTTTCCCCAAACGTTTCAACTTTATAATAATGTTGTTATAGTTAGATTTCAAACATTTTGCGACACACAACACGATGACACTATACACGTCCAGGAAATATTCTACAACAATTCATACCTTTGCAAAAAATAACACAGGAATTCTCTTATTTTAACAAATTTTGAATGTGCATTTTCCACTTCTGTAACTAAATGTCTGATAAGCCTTTTAGACGTAAACATTTCTGAAACAAAATAATAATTCTCTGTAGACTAACGTTGACAATTCTAAGTTGTTGCTATTTTCCAAAAGGGTGCATTTCCAAGCGATTTACTGATAATACACCGACAAGTGAAATAGTTAGAGGGATTTCGGCAGCTCTGTAAGGACATAGGACTGAAAAGGATCAATACAATATCACATCAAATTTTGCCACCATGTGTTAAAATGTGTATTATGTACGATTGAACGGTTGCAGTGCTTTTTTCTCCGATGTAATTCCAAATTAGATGCATTCATGTGTAAGAGCGCAACACTCTCAAAGAATCTACCTCGTAGTTTTTTGCTTTTTCAAAAGTACTTGGAGCTGGGTAATCAAATTTTCTCCAGACTTCGAGTGAGATTTTTCAATTTTCGGCACCGTTAGCTATTCGGGACACAACTTGTGCTATTCTCACCCCGGTGGAAAGACATTAGATGCCGCTCTTTAACATTGGGATGACATGAGCTGTGGTCACCATTAGAAATAATGATTTCTCCCGGGAAGACGTTTCCTTTCTCCTTACACAGAAGAGTTCTGGTGACGTAGATTAACGATCTGTGACGTAATGTACCGAGAAAGTGGGATATTAATTTGCATTTTCGATCGTCAGTTAATTGAATGTTGCCTGTGTCATTATCCAAAAGTTGGAATTCACCACGCCCACATTTCTGATCATAAAATGAAGTTCGCATAGTGCACAGTTTTTAAGGAAGCTAATTTCAATCTATGAAGTTGAGTTCTGTGAAATCTTCCCGAAATCGATATCTTATAAAAAGTAACATCTCTTGATGAGACATGTCTTAAAGAACTAAGCTTACACGTTAAGAGCCAACGGTATTGAGATTCAAAATAAATATTTTTGAACTTTTCCACAGAAGACAGGAACATTGAACAATTCAAGAGAAACCTTTACCAATAAATCATTATCGATGGTTGAATTTATTTCCCGTTTCCTCCATAGATAATGACATATTATCATATGGTATAGATAATGACATAGGTCCATATGTTATAGATAATGACATAAGTCCATATGGTATAGATAATGACATATAACCATATGGTATAGATAATGACATATAACCATATGGTACAGTTAATGCCACAGGTCCATATGGTATAGATAATGACATATAACCATATGGTATAGATAATGACATGTAACCATATGGTATAGATAATGACATGTAACCATATGGTATAGATAATGACATATAACCATATGGTATAGATAATGACATATAACCATATGGTATAGATAATGACATGTAACCATATGGTATAGATAATGACATATAACCATATTGTATAGATAATGACATATGTCCATGTGGTATACATAATGAGTGAGTGAGTGAGTGAGTATGGTTTTACGCCGCTTTGAGCAATATTCCAGCAATATCACGGCGGGGGACACCAGAAATGGGCTTCACACATTGTACCCATGTCGGGAATCGAACCCGGGTCTTCGGCGTGACGAGCGAACGCTTTAACCACTAGGCTACCCGACCGCCCCTGTATACATAATGACATAGGTGCATACGGTATATATAATGCCATAGGTCCATATGTTATAGATAATGACATATAACCATATGGTATAGATAATGCCATAAGTCCATATGGTATAGATAATGACATATGTCCATGTGGTATAGATAATGACATAGGTCCATATGGTATAGATAATGACATATAACCATATGGTATAGATAATGATATGTAACCATATGGTATAGATAATGAAATATGTCCATGTGGTATACATAATGACATAGGTGCATATAGAATAGATAAAGACATAGGTCCATATGGTGTCGGTAATGACATAGCTGTTTTCAGCCTCTCTACTTATCTGTAAGGTCTTATCGAAAAGTTAATCATTTCTTGCTTGCAACGAACACACGCAGCCTTGTTAAATCACCAAGTGTTGCAAAGAAGTCAATCTAACCCTAACTTTTATATTATTCTTTAATTACAACACTCCATTATAGACAGGTGGTTTTTAACACATTATTCACTCCCCTTCTGCTTCAAACCAATCAAAACAGCAGGAGGTGCTCACGTGACAAAAATAACATCCCGCATGTGATTGGAAATAACGTTCTTCGATAGAAATATGTAATAAAAGTGTGCACGTGATGGATAGTTTAAAACATCACACCTGCTAAGGTCGGCACTTTCTTCTTCTAAATAATTGTCTTCGATTTTCCTTCTCTTTCAAAGAATCTTTAACATTTCATCCTGCGAAGAACCCGTATGTCTTTATAGAAATGGTGATTTATGATACAATGTGAAGCGTGAAGATCTGCCTGGTCTATACATTGCAGTCATAAATATTCTTCTGGGTTATATTCCCATCAGTGTCATGTAATAGTCATAGAAAGGTTCCTCTGATTCCATGTCTTCAAAACACCCAACTCACCGAGTACACTCGCATTGAGACCAAACAATCGCTGTCCCAAACAAGTATTAATTAATTAAAACGAAAGAATGGTAAAACCGAGGTTAGAAACAGTTGACGGTATCTTGGTGCCTCCTTCAAGTAAGCTCCAAACGTGTGTGTAAAAGGAGTCCAATATTCCAACGAGAAGGCATATGGACATTAACCCTAAACGTTCAAACCGAAATATTTTTGTTCGATGGAATCGTCACCAGTGACGTCAGAATTGGCGTTATGTTGCTCCAGTATGGAGTACAGTAAACTACGGTTATAACGAACTCAAAGGGACTACTAATTTTAGTTCGTTATAACCGTAGTTCGCTATAAGCATATATACAGCATAACTACAGCAAGTAGTCGGGACCAAAAAGTAAGTTCGTTATATCCGTCAGTTCGTTATAAGCGTGTTCGTTTTAACCGTAGTCTACTGTAGTTTGTGTCCTTTGTGACCAAGATGGGCGTAGTACGTTGGCAGTTCTTAATTCCATTTTAATCTCAAAAAACAGAAACCCCTGTCTCTTTAGGTGTTTCAAAGGGTGGTTGTTTGTCTTTTATTAAAAATATTCCGATCTGATTATACCCGTGGAAGCTTATCAGTGCTCCATTCAGATAATGGTTTCCATTATTCTGACTTTGGAGCCCAATGGAATCTGTTTCGACAGGAAATCGAAATCATTCTTTGTGTTTGACGTTGCATATATGCTACATGTTAGCAGGAAGGATGAAATGGCTTATTTGCGGATGTCTTGAAGTCTTATATACGCTCCCGGACTATACTGCTAACTTATCCAGTTCATGTAAGACAAGCATAAACATACTATTCGCAATATAAACTGCCGGGCATAAGAAAGTATTAACACTTAAAAATTAAATTTGGGAAATGTCGTCAAAACGTTAACAGGTTGAAAACATTCACCGAAACACTGCAAACTTCAGGTCAAAAACACTATGACACCCGTATCAAGTACATCACATTTTGAATAACCATTTCTCGTTTGGTTTTTTTTAGCCACTATGAAACGTGGGTGGAAACTTCTTTTGCCGGAAGTTTAGTCCGAAAACATCTCGAAGAAATAAAAACTTTAATCCAATGAATTATTTCCATAACACAATCAAGTCGATAAGGCCCCGTCTTTTTGAATCACAATGACTCTAGAGCGTTGTTTCGTGGACCACAGTTACACTGTTAAGTCCAAACCAAAGTTATGTTTTGATGTGAGCGGCTTTATCAAAAACTCAGCGGGAACACGCTCCCCCTTTTCACTCGTCGAACACTCCCCGTCCCCCTTTTCCTCTTGTGAACGCATCTATTTTAACCATACAATGCTCGGGACAAATTTGCCGCGGGATTACAACGCCGCCATATTTGTGGTATGAGCTCATGGCGAGTAACTCAGCCTAATGACCTGCAAATCGAGAGCTTTTAAACTTTAAGTTGCTTGAGGTATTTGAATTGAAAGTCCTTTACCTAAAAGATCCTGAGGGAATTTGAAGTTGGTTTTGTACCATTCTACTTTCGATGGTCTTCAGTTTGAAATATTGATGTAGTTCAAACACTCCCCTACATTGCCCCCCATAGAGGTTTACAAATTTCAATAGTTTTTGTTAGTTTTGCTGCCATACTTAAGCCATTAAAAGGACCGCTACCCCTGGAGGTGCAAGCATGTAATGTTCTGTGTCGGTAATACGAATACAGCTTCTAATAATATGAACACGGCTTCTTCACCTCTAAATACATGAACAAATACACTATATTAATAATGCGTAACCAAGAATTCAATACTCCATAAAAAAAAATCACGGTTTAGATATTAACTTTGAACCCTTTCACGTACATACAGTAAACACATGGTCATTAAATCATACACCGTGCAAATATTGGGCATCTGATTACAGTGTCCAATATATCAATGCATTCTTATTGTGTCGCATAAATAATTCCTCCAATGATTATAATTGGCAATGAAATTATTTGGTGTCTGTTCTATTGCAGTAAATGGTGAAGTATGTTGGTTTTTAACAATATACGTCGTTTGCATTACCTAATAAGCATTTGTAATACAATGTATTGTACAAAGGCTTTGTCAAATGTGTCATCCTTTCCTCATAGTAAAGTGATGTTGCCTTGTATGTTATAACGGTATCGGCAGTTGGTCAACAGTAGCCGGTCCCATTGCAGATGTTGCCGTATGGTAGGTAACACGGGACAGTGTTAGAACCGACAGGTAAGGCTGCCATTTAGTTTTAGGGCCATATCGGAAATATTTGTAACAACAGGTTAAGGTGTTAATTTTCTGTTAGAGAAATAGAGTACGTCTGACAAATCTAATAACTATAAATTAAAGGAGTGTAGTTTCATCATATTAGTAAGAATATACCTTAACAAGAAAAATCCTTCTTTTTAAGTTGATTTATGTATGTATTTGGTTCTTAACGCCGCGAAAGGACCTCAATGCTCTTTAAATATTCATTTTTGCTATTTTGTTACCGTTATTGCGAGAGGGAGGAAGAGACACAATTATCTGCAATTCAAGTTGTCTTTAGACAAAGGGAATAGGTTTGAGGGGGACAATGTTAAGAAAAACAATAAGTAATATCTGGAGTATATACCACTCCCAGACACTTTGTGGGAGAATTGGAAACATGTTGGCAACAGATGGTCCCGCAATTCAGGTATTTACTTCGATAACACCATGCAGCCATGCCAGATGAAGTAGAGAATATATCATGCTTCTCCATATGGGGAATTTTTCATAATTCAAAATGTCTGGTTCGAACAATGCTTTCAACGATGTGTGGGCCTAATTTTAGTGTTAATATCCGCGCATATTGCATAATATTAAGGCAATCTGTTAAAGCAAGAGCAAATCCATCATTCTTGCAAGTCTTTTGGAACACCGTGTGGTTTCGTTCTGTCTAATTGTACACCTTCTGGTATTAAACATCTCTATAATCGCTTGTGCAAACAGTCTTGCGGGTAAATTTACAAAACCACAATGCCAGAAATTTGCGGTTGTAACAAATACAATTGTCATATTGAATATTGTTGTGACGCAACGTTGATGTTTTATGAAGGGAGCCTGTTTGAGCTGAACATACCCCATCTCGGTCAGGCAAAGACCTTTGTTGAAGCTTCAATTAAAACTTCCAAAATATGGCCAAATTTGATTAATCATTCTCCGCAAAATCTGTAAGAAAATAAAAAAAACAGCAAAAAGTTAAAACAGACAAAGTTTCGAATAATTAAGTCCAGTCTGAATGGAATATTCCATGTGGCTATATTTGAAATGCAATAACATTTTCTTTGATATTCTATAGTTGCTAGATTTATACATTTCTGTTTTTACAACGTTATTAAGTACATAAATTATCACTTTTCACTTTTCATTTCATTGATTTAATTTCTCATAAAGACAGATGTTTTTCCTGGCCTCATATGTGTAAATTTATGATGCTCCTATTTTAATGGAAACATCTGTTAATTGTATCTATTTCCAATACTGTCCATATGTCCAGTCGCTGAAATTATGAATAAGTTACATACAAATTGCAAACTCGCATGATTTCATGAATTTAACTCTCATTGTCGTTCAGCTTTCAGTCACATAGTTCTAGCTTGAATGGTGCTGGCCTATTCTGCAATCTGTTTGTTTTTTTCATCATGGAATTTATGACCAAGATTCAGTTTCATGTCATTGTAGAAAGCCATATTGCGTCTTTTAATGCAAAATATAAATATCAATGAACAAAAAAATCAATGCTCACATAAAGGAATAATAATCATTCATCAAACTCTCTTTCTTAGCATAGAAGCAGGAATATATTCCGTGAAAGTTGGCCATAAGTTTCAGGAAGGTAAAGTCCATGGAATATGTTTAACTTAGCAATCAATAGAAAAGTAGATTTTCGAGCGTAAAATACTTCAAATCTCACATACAGACCAACACAAGCACTTGAAAAGCGAAAATAAATATATTTGTACGTATCATAAAGGTTTAAAACAGGCTTAAAGAGCAAACAACGTATGCATGTAACGTTGGTATCTGAAGACGTCCATGATTTTTCTCTTAGAACACAGAATGCATAAAGCGCATGTGATGGTTTCGGTCTCGTCCGCATGCCTGGAAATCACCAGATAAATTGAAAACGTCAACGTCAGGAACGTCTCGAATATCAGCTGAAACAGATCCCAGTGCCAGTGGATGAGAAGGTGTGAAGATTCCGTGTACAGACTGTAGCATGGGTAAGCATCTCGCATCACGTTGACAAGCGATGTGTCATTTTTAGTCAATTCCTCTGACTGCCTACTAACACCGTCGACTCTGATCAAGTAAAAATCCGTTAGTCCGAACCCCGACTAACACGCTTTCCGAACGATTACTGTTATGGCCATATATATGTCCATACAAGTGGGTGGGATGGTTTAACGCCTGTTAGGGCAATATTTCAGTTATGAGATGGCGTGTCAGCTCCATGTGGAGGGAAAGCCTAATGTGACGCAAGTCGTAGACGTGTACCTCCTTGAGGAAACTCAGGGCTACTGGTACAGAGATGAAAACCCATAACAAGAATCATATTGGGATTCGAACCCCGATCATCGCATTTTGGCACCGCGCAAATCTATACAACAAATGTACCATTTGGCTTCAAGAAGCATGTATTTGACAAGAATCAAACTCTGCCCACGGGTGATCCACGTCAGTTACCTAACCTGTGACCTACCCGACCTACCTCAACCTGTACCTAATGTAAGCCTGTGCAAATGTCTCCGCAACAACCCAATAAATAAAAGAGTTCATTTTCTATTGTTACAAAGCAGAACAATGGTTGGCAATGGTCTACATACAAGGTACGTCACAACAAGAACATATCTTGGATGGTACCCTTTTTATTTTTAATATTTCAGGATAAATTTTAAAATAAAATAGATTTTAACATTAAACATCAATAATATGGTGAACGATTCTTGCGTACACTATAAGCGTTTCACAATCATATGTTTTGCTTCAATTTCACCATGGTTACCCATAACAATGCAATGCGTAAAACGATTAATTAAACTATAATTCCAACGTTCACATCGTTTCATATATTGAAATATAACTGTAAAATATATCCACAACCATGTGTTACATGCTCAATTGTTCATTTTATTTGCCCCGAGCCATACAACAAAAACTGGGCTGTATCACATTGTGAATGTGCGGAGGTGATACGTCCATGGGATGGTGATCATATTACAAATTTCTCATCCAAGTAATCGAATTGTGTCCAAAACATTAAATATTGTTCACATTGAAATATTACAAAGGGAAAATAATGTACAGTACAAGTGGGAAAAAAAACATTTATTACTTGCCCGTGAAGAGATCACCTGTTTAATAAACATGCAGCTGTATTACACACGAAGTTTCACGAACAAACTCTGAGCATCCCTGGGCTTATTCAACGACATTGCGTATAGAGATAAAAGAGATGAGCTTATGCACGCTCGATGACCCAAGGAAGCTTTTTGCTAGGCTGACGTCACATGGCATTGTTTCGCCGGTGGATCTTGCAACAAAATTCAACAAATTACGTCATAGGGTATTGTGCCTGTTGGTAAAATTCGTGGTGCAAGGCCCCATTCCATGTCAGTGGTAAGTCTATGTATGTGGGAGTTATGGATAACCTTAGCTCCGATAACTTTGTAGAACAGAACCCTGAATTCTAAAAGTGGTCCGCCGTATGGTATTAAATTAATACGTGTCAACTTTTGAAGTATTGTTTTGTTTAACTCAATTGAATTATGCTGTGGATGGCGTAGATGTCTGCTGCCTATATTCACGAATGACAGTGAAATTTTAAAAACGTTATAAACGGCAAGTAATAAATAAAATAAAAAACTCGCTCCCCTTTCGCTCGTCAGATACCAGAATTATTCACTCGTTTCATAAAATTGGTATTCCACGGGAGCTCGTTTCGTATTCTATAGGTATACAATAATAGCCATCATTAACTCTAAGAAATAAATGGCAATTTATTTCAGTTGAGTAGGTTCGAAAACAGACGAGGTAGCTGTTGAAGTGTTTCTGTTGTGTAGCTGTAAGTACACGTGGGTACCGTCAACAGTTAATTCAAAGAGAATGCCGTTAGTCTCAATGCTACCTTGAACAGAATATATTGAACAACAATGATGTTCATTTGTGATCAAAGCATATGATGTCCTGCTCGTACGTTTCGAGTGAATAGTGACGTTTGTTATCCAGACATTACACACTGCATTCAAAGACGTTAATGTGATTATTTCAATCAGACAGGGTGACTATTCATTCCGTTATTTACCAAATATGATTCCAGGCAGTCTATAAGTCTTATATAAAGTCTCAGGTGAGAGGTCGGGTACCCGTTCGGGTATACAGATTGAAGGATGTATGGATTGTGTGAATGACTGGAGAACCAGGACAGGCAGGAAACTATTAATACGTCAAAATACTATGAAAGTTCCAATATTATTACTAAATTGTAAGTGGCCGTCACTTTATGACCGCTTTTTGTCTATGGCTTCTCCGAAAATCGTAAAATGCGTGTTCAGATAAATTTTACATTTGTCTAACTCTGGAAATAGTTGCATTATTGCCATGCGTGTCCAATCGACAGTTTCTTCTTGCTGGTAGTAATATTAGAAATTCATGATGCGGAATAATTTTCATAACTTGTGAACAAAACATTTGACCTGAGCCACGCTTACAGTTCATGTCGGAGCTCGAGTTTATTTGCTTCTTGTGTTAAACACACGACCCGAAATTGATTCCTAGATATTTATGTTTCCACACCTCTCACAGAACCGGTGCTCTCAGTATATTTCAAATTGCTGTCTCGCAATAAACTCCAGAAAATCCTGCCAGTTTATTGCGCAGTTAGTATGAATGCCGTCAGGAAATTTGTTTCGGTGGAGGTAATTTAGAAAATGGTTGTTTTTCGATGCATCTTACAGCCGGAGAGAGGTTTTATACCAAATATTCAATAAATCTTGCATGACATTATTTCATTCTAATTAAAACTGTGAGTGACTGTTTGGAATCCTCTCACAGCGGAATGGTGATTTGCTTGAACTTTCATCTTGTAGGCTTCAATTTGGCTATTATCAGCATACTACGGTGATTGGCGTTATGGAAGCTTTGCGGGGGGTCTCTGAAATCAGGTACAGCAAATCACGCCCGCCCCTACCCGAGAGTCGCACACTCCGATACAACTCTCGTGTTTGTCCGTACGTATAGTCACCAGTTCGAATTGTGCGAATAGGGGTTAAATTTGACCATGCGATTCCGTCATTATCGTCCTCAGGCGCGTGTTTCAGAGCGCGCGGCTTGCATTCTTAATCACCAGCAACCGTCCTGGGAGACGGTCAAACAGCATTAAAACTTACATACTATTCGCCATCGTTTAGTTTCCTTAAGACAGCACGCACCTGTAGAAACTACAACGGGAAATAAACAGAGCGACACTGATAAGGTGGTTTTCAGTATGATTGATGGCAGCGTTACAAACCAGGCCAGTGTATAGATGAAAGACACGATTGAAACTTTCCAATTCTTGTCTTGGAGTTCTTGATGTACTTCCTGCAAGTGTCATTTTGAATAGAGCATTTCAAGAGGTCTTAAGATTGAATATTGTCCAACATGGAGTTTGTTCCACTATATGTGTTTCAAAACAAATGATGAAAAAAGAATAAGACCCGTTTGACTATTTTTCTTAAAGCTGGATGTCCATATATCACCTTCGCATTCCAATGTATCAATTCTCGACTCGTCTAATTTTTTCAACCGTGCTTTATGATTCCTATGAATTGGCGAAGAGAAATTATATCACTGGCACGATGTAGAAGCTTTTGTTATACACAGAATGTCTAAACTTTTATATTTAGTATAATCAGTCTAGTCAGTGATACTTTGTGTAAACAACTATATATATAATAAAATGACGAAGGACGTTTAAGGAAACAATGCACATAATATGTGTATAAAGCCAGTCAAGTCAAATTTCAAATCAAAGTTTATTTGAATATTGCTAAAAGTACCGTCAATAACACACTGCCTCCTATTTCATTAAAAGTCTAAAACAATCGCTATTATTGTTGGCTTCAAGAATATTTCAACAATTTACTGACGATTTGTCAGTTTAAGCTTCTTGCAAAACAATTTGATAGCGCCACGGGCGAGGATTATTTGCTATTCTTTCCCCCAGTGTTGGTCAGGCAGGATTCGGAGTTAACTCAAATCTGCCTGGTTTGGAATTGATCGAGGCAAATGCGGGAGGCGACTTTTTCAGCCTTTCTGGGTTTACCATGGAAACGCGATCCGGCTATTTCATTTGTCCCAAGAATCAGACGTTCTTCCAAACCCAATGTTTGCCTCTAAAAGCCCTTTGCTGCGAATTGTCTATCGCAATAAATTCTGAGACTGATTCCTGGCGCAAAGTATGGTCAATTTCACCTCTGATACACACAATTATCACAACCGAAAGCACCTTTTATCGCTTGAGACTGTTTTCATATGCCGAAAATTTTCTGCCTGGCAAACTTGAGATGAACGAGCGTTAAAGGCTTACTCTGTCCAGTTCTCTGAAAATTAGCCCACAGGTCAGAACAATATCCGGCGTTAATTTCACGATTGGTCAGCTTCCGTTTTTCAATCAAACTACATCTCGCGACTGACCAGCGCGAGCTGGTCACGTGTAGCGGTAGGATCAAAGAGATTCTCTAATCCAGTTTCCAAATCAAAAGTCATCTCCGTGAAGCCGAACAGGTAGTAATCCATCTGTGATGAAGCGACCCCAAATGATACATTAATTTGCCATACTCATAAATATGAAATACATGCTGGTTGAATGATTTAGGAATAAATTCGGGGGTCAGTTTGAGTTATTTAGGAGCCAATCTTGTTAAGATTTAAGCAAGATTCCGTGTCCGCCTCTCGGCACCATTGGAGTCAAATCACACGGATATAAACGATATTATCATAAAGAGGGTCAAATATTGCAGAACTGTTTCAAATATATTTGGCCAACCCCAAACGGAGACAAACTATACCTCGTTATTCATATTGGGGTCATTGTGATTTCTTTTGAAGACTGTGGGGTGACACAATCGGAATGTTGTCCAATCGGAATCGTAAACAATTGTTTCAGGCTTTCTGACTTTCATATAAATTACCAATTAACCTTTTTAAACAACACATATAAATTGTATATTATGTATCGCTT